GCAAATAATGAACAAACTATTGTTTTTAATGATTAAATTATTAAGAACTTCAACATCAACTGATATATGGGTTGAAATGAAAGCAGAAATTTGTGCATACTTCAAAATTAGTAAGTACTAATTTTATGATGACGACCGTTAAATATTATTTTTTTAATATCCAATTTAAATTTATAAGTCAAATTTTGTTTAAGGATTAGACACATCAGTTTAATGCATTTTAAAACACTTATTAATTTTTATATATATTAAATTTAAATATCCAGAAAACGGAAAATTAGTCCTCTCTCAGCCAATCAGATTTAAACTGTCAATAATAATTCTAATATATATCCTCTAAAATTAAGACTCATGCAATATATATGTATATAATACTTTTCGTTTTATTAAGAATTAATTTCTTACCAAAGTCAATATTCAATTAAAATCGGCAGCTTTAAATCATTAAAAGCTTTTTATGACATGATTGTGACAAGAAAACATAAAGGACTCACATTGTTTATATGGGATTTACATTTAGAATATTCTGGCAAGCAAAGAAATCTTTTTTTTTTTTTAAAGTGATAAACACTAAGTACTAGCAAAATTAATTCGAAGCTGGGAATCAGTGAGAGCTGTATTAACTAATTTTTATTGTGTTGAGTGCTAATTTAGTAACAAAATATTTTATAAATCATTCTAGTCGCGTAGATGAAAATAGCGAAATCCAGAAACACTACAAAACGAATGCCAAATGCACAGGTTTCCTTTGATTTTGCTCGAAAAACTCATCAATCCATAATATAACTTTTAATCTCATTTAATTTATGATTATTATTGATGAATTGCTGTTTTGCAATATTTTAAAAAAAAAATTACAGAGCAAACGAACAAACGCTTTAAAATGATGGCAAATTTAGGGCTTAAGTATATACTGTGCTTAAGAGTTGCATGATGATCTGTTGAAAAGCTTATTCTACTAATTTTGTTCTACAAAAAAAAAATGTCAAATATTTTTAATAAAAATGAATAAATGATAATACTGCAGTCTGTTAATTAATTTCGCTGAAATGAAATATGCATGCTGGAAACCAAATTCTCTATAATAATGTCAAAGTGAAAACAGATGGAAAGCAATGCGATAAGGAAAACGAAAAAAAAACACTGGTGGTTTTGAGAACATTCCGCAAAAATGGAATTTTTCAAAAATTCTTTTTATTTTATTAAATTTTTTGTTAAAAAAAAAAGGAAAACGCTTATTATTGGGAAATTTTTTATACTGATTGATATCAGTCTTCAGGAAATAGATCAAAATTTCTCTCTTCCAAAAAGAATATCCAATTAATCTTTGATAAATGCACCTGTGTTGAAAAAAGTTTTTTAATTTTAAATATTAAAATAAAAATAAGACTGGCAATTTAAATTTATGATGAAAGGTATGCATATTTCAAGAATTCACGAAATGAAATATGTAAAATAGCTGCAATGATTGAGATAATTTCTAATTTAGTTGAATTGAAAAAGACAGCAAACGAAGAAAAATGCTGACATAGATAATTTATAAATGTTCCTTATTTTTTTCTTTTTCTGATTATATTCGCTACGTAATTAAGCTAGCTGTCACAATTAGCAGAGAAAAGAATTAAAATTAAGCAGATGAGTGCCTTGGTAAGTGAACCACATAGTTTTAATGAAACGTAAATTGAAGATTAGCATATTAACATTAAATTACTTTTTATGAAATGAAACTGTTACTTTCTTAACATATGATTAATATATGATTACCGCTTATCATTCTAATGAAAAAGGAGTCGAAAGAAACATTTTCCTGCTCAAAAACAAATATAAATTCATGTGCATTGAAGTTATTTCTACTGCAAAACCTAAAAAATCCACAAAAAAACTTGAAGATTGCAATATGCCACGTTGAAATCACATCATATCTTATCTTGCTGATCCATTTTTTATTGAAATACATTACCTGAGAACAATCATAATAGAACGCCACGGAAATGGAAGAAATATTCATTTGATTTTTTGATTTTCAGTAAACAGTTTTGAACAATAAATTCAATGGTATTTTTTATCATCATGAAATTTGTATGAAATCTTAAATAAAAAATTTTGCTGTAAATTACGTCTATGTCTAATAAGCTTTAAACTGAGTAGACATTAATGCTACTTATACTGTCAACAAAAGATTATTCCAGCTGAACGGTGGAAATTTGTTGAAAATATGTTTGTGCAATTTTTTCACCAATCTCTATTACTTAGAATCAGGTAATAGGGAAAATTTTCAATTATGTTTATATCATTTTGAAGATTTTAAAGCAACAAATTCAATTATTGGTCAAACGCAGAAGAACAGTCGTTGCTGAAATCTTTTTATATGAGTAATGAATTAGCTCGGATAAAATGGCTAAGATATGATTCATCCTTCACTACCAAGTTTTTAAGGAAGACGTTGTTTATATGCCGGTTCTGCAAAAATTAGTTTACAACTATTAGATCTATAAATTGCAATAAAGCAACAAATTTGAAAGCAGCTAAAGCCTCTTAAACATTGTGTAATGGAGGTAATGAAAGCCTTTTTCAAATTTTTCAAACTAAATAAAAGAAAAAAAATTATAAACTTCATTTAGTGAATAAATGAGGAATATAAAATATATGAAAAAGAAAAAGAGAACTGTTCAAAATTTGGAAAAGAATGCAAATAAACAACAATAATTATGAAGTTAAAGTGATGATGTAAGTAGAGGCAACTGGAAATTTTCGAATGTCTCATCAAACTCAGCTCTATCGAAGCAAGAAAAAAAGAATTGATGGATTATACCTGATAAAACTCAGCACTGCATTAGTACTGCAATCAGAAATGTGTTTCAAGAAAGCCAACCTCACTCTGTGTTTTTCAGAGCGTACCAGAAAAACCAAGCGGAGCTTATTTCAAATGTCAATTTTTTATATAGCTATACGAATGACTTCATATGCATTTAAAGAAGTGATATTCACAATATTCTGAAATGATTGTTAATTAGCATGGCCGCACTTTTTGTTACCATCTCTTCAGGGTTTATTTTTATTTTTTTTCGGCTTATTTCTTTTTCATGGTATTCATTCTTCTCCAACGGTTCTTAAACATCTCCACATCAGAGACTGGAATCGAAGGTAATATAGCTATTGACAATTCCAGGTGCTCTCATTGTCATTGTGGAATGTTTGGTTTACCCATCCTTTTATTTTTGAGTTTCCTGTCAATCTCAAAGAAATACTTCACCAGTGCCCATTCTAACAAGTTGAAATTGACCAGTCGAAAAGCAGTTATAAATTGGAAATGTGCATATCATAGTTTCAGTATTTGGAAATATTGATAATTTGGTAATAAGAAAGCAAGAAAACAGAAAGCTATGATATTGTGCATTTAGAAAGTGTGAATCTTATCGAAGACAAAATTTGGATTATTTTTAAAAACTTCTTTAGTTTCTGTTTAGTAGAAATTTTTGTTATACTGTTCAGAAACTCACGAAAACCAAATCACTTCTGTTCCTATAGTTCGCATTTTGCGGAAGATTCGAGGGGAAGTCTAAGAGATACAGGTGCCGTAATTAAATGTGAGAGAATACGAGTTGTGCGAATTGGTGGGAAAATAATATCATATTTATATACTTCATAAAAAAATCTATAAAACTGTTTTCCTATGCGGATTTGTATTCGCACAGCAACGCTGTCTGATTGATTTCATATCACAAACTGCTTGGCATTCTCATATTCAAACACACCTATCAGTAAATTAATTCAAGAAATAACACCTCGTAGAAAAAATTGTCAAGTTCACTAATGAAAGTAACGGTAATTATTCAAGCTTACATAGAACTCAACGCTTTACCGTAGAGGACATCACAAAAAAATTAATTGCGCCAATTACATATATTCACTATTTGTACCGAAATGTCCGTTTTCCTTGCATCTCTAGTGCCTTTCCTTGCTGACACATTAGTACCCGAATATAATGATTTACTAGTTACATCTCATTTGATACAGGTAATATATCCTTATTAAATGACAAAAAACCCACAGATAAAGCGATCAACAACACTGCTGTAAAAAACGAACTTCACTGCTAATAACATACATACAAATAAAGTTAATTTTCCATTATGTTTCCATTCAGGAAAATTATAGAGTAGTTAAGATGCTAATTGGGATAATAATCACTTAACTGTCTCAATATCCAGTTTGATGAAGCAAAAAAAGGAATCTTTTATGGAAATGGCGAGAGGAAAAACATCATAAACAACTCCTCACTGAATCTCTTATTCTATTGTTTTCTCCTACCACCAGTTGCGCATTCCGTATCTGAAATGAAAGCAAAAAGAGAAAATATGAAGCAATTTGTTATTATGACAAGCTAACAACAAATTATTCAAAAAAAAACCGAACAAAGTTTTATAACACAAATAAACACATCCAGAAAATAAGAAAAATGATCCGAAAACAAATAAAAGCAAAAACAAAAAATAAAAACAAAAAAAAACAAAGACAACAAAAGCAAAATTACAATATATTAATATATATATATATAAGTTGGCGTGATTTTTATACGTTTATTTTTAACTTTTCTGCCGCGTCGGAATGAATAAGCAATATTAGCTTCACTATTAAAGGAATCTCTCAATAACTACCGACTATCTTAATACTAACCACTGATTGACCTTGACACTATAGAATTGGTTCTAGAGGTTTGGGGCACCCGGAACTTTCAAAATAAATTCACTATATAAATAAATTCAAGAACCACCAAACAGAAGAACTGATCGTTACATAAATACAACTTCTGAAACTTATATGCTTTCACAAGGATTTCATTTAAAAGTTTTCGTATCACTATGAGTTTTTAAATCTTTTCAAGATTTTGGTAAATCTATGTCAGCTTGATATTCACTGCACTTTTTAAACATTTAAATGGGAATTTGTCGCAGTGCTATTTCATTTATTCCAAATTAAAGTTCCGAGTGCGCCTCGTCCTATATGACCAACTGATGGTATCTCGCAACAAATACTCTCAAGATAGAATTCAAATTATCAATAGTTTCATAATGTAAAACATCAGCATTATCGGATGCTTTGTGCCATACATCCGGGAATGGCAGAGGTATGAGATGTAAAATAGGTACATTCAGATTCAGAAATGGTACGTGATCGTCTTCTATTGTACTATAAATTGTTCGAGGTTGGAATATTGGTTGTAATGGATGCAAACAACCAGTTTTCTTCAGCTCCATTTCTGAAAAGAATACAAGAGCATAGAACTCTGTAAAGTAACTTGGTATAATAGATGATCGCAACCATAGCAGAAAGTCACTGCAATAATGACGATTGCTTTATAAAAGTAAAGTTAATCTTATAAGGAAGCAATAACACTAGAAGTGATGCATCAAAATGTGGTACAGAACAAAAAAATTCAATTAATAATGTATTATTACATTCTGCAACATTACCATTTAAAAAACTGCAAGCAACACATCCTAAAAATTCAAACAAAGCACCAACCAATTTTCATCATTTCCAAGAACGCATTTTTGGATGAGAAACCATGAAAGTAGTGCAAAAGTGGATTTGGTGCACCAAGTAGATCGAGTAGGATAAATAAATCCTGAAAACAGTAACACATTTCGCCGTTAGATTTTTAATCTGGTTCTTATGATGCTCCATGTAATTTTTGGGAGTTTGTTAATTAAATAGAATAAATTAATATAGTTCTTATCAAAGTTCTAAATCAATACCAGTAATCTTGAAGTCTTCATAAAATAACATTTCAATCTAAATTTTTTTTTTACTTTAATCACTTATTTCTTAGATGTTAACAGTTGAATTTTATGTACCAAAAATGTGTCAAAAATAATGCGCCAAAAATTATTCTTTTCTGATTACAAAACCTAATCAACAAAAAATTGATAATCACCATTATGTACTACTTTTATATTTTTTACATTGATTTCTTTATTATAGACTTTTCTACCAATAGAACAAGAAAATAAATGAACAAAGAGCAGAATCAGAAATTTGATTTTTAAGCAAAAAATTTATGGAAAACCATGTGATTAAGCAGAAACTTAGTAATGTATCGTAAACAGCATTGTAAAATAATGAAATTTTACAAAAAAATTAAAGTGGGATTTGAAAAAGAGGCATTCATGCTGATAAAACTACTTCAACTTCATTATGATTCACTTTCAAAAAAAAAAAAACGAAATTAATTCATAAAAGGTAAAGTAAACATTAAATAAGGATATGAATTTGTGTAACAAAAAAATGAACAAAGACAAAAAATTAAATGGTGATAAATGCAAAAAACTCACAATTCGATCAATTTCTTTTTTAAATTCGAAAGACGATTGAGAAGTGTTCATGAAATATTCTCGATTCCATTTTGAAGCTAAATGACGAGAACCATACAATGAATCCATTTCTGACCACTCATGAAATGCTTCCTCACCATCGAAAAAGATCAATTGAAGAGTTAGATCCTACAAAAAATAAATAAGTAAATGAATAAATAAAAATAAGATAAATAAATACATATTTATCTATCTATTTAATTTATTTGTCTATTTATTTGTTTAATTAATTAATTTATTTGTATTTACTTATTTGGTACATATTACATTATATATACTCTATAGAATCGTATGTTTGTGCACCAGTTAGGGAAATTTTTATATGGCTAACATCAAATTCCGCTTGAACAGGATTTCCATCAAAACAGACTTACTCTTCTTCTACGATTATGCAAGTATGGACCAAGTGTGCGTGCCATTTCGAGCAGCATCGCACAAGGCACCGCAGAATCAGTTGCACCAATAAAAATTTTTCTGTAATAATTATTGGTAATTTATCCGCAGGTTATATCCCTATTATGATTGATATATGACATTAAACAAACAAAAATATGCGTTCGCTATGTATCTACATCACATTAATGCCTCTAAAAAAATCAGAGTAGTTATAAGTGGTATTAATAATGGCGGATAAAAACAATAAAACATTGTTTAAACTTCAAAAATTGAACAGATTACCCTTCCAGCACTTTTGAATCATAATGGCATGCAAGTACAAGTCGTCTAGGGACGCTGGGATCATGCGTAGCAATTAATGTTCTGAATGACTTCATGCCAAGGGGAGTGGCTTCATCGAATAAATCCCATTCAATCGTAAAGCCTAAAGCTGACAATGTCCTTGACAAATGCTGAAAAATTCTATGGTCGTTAAATGTAAATAGATCAAAAATGTAACTCCTCTCTACTAAATATTAGACATACCTCACTTTTAATCATTTTAATGTCCCTAAAAATTATCAGAGACAAAAATTATAACAAAACTAGTATTTGATAAATAACGTTAAGTGATAAAAATGTATTTTCAATTAAAAGAAGCACTAAAAGTAACAAAGTAGAAAAGTAGTCTTATCCGCCCTAATATAATTAATTGCATTTGAAAGTCTCATAGTGCCATCAATAGCCAAATGTTCAACAGGTGTGGTATACGCTGCAGAAGTTGCAAACGGAACGAAAAAGCGCTGCTGTATCATATGATTTAAATAAATAATATGTCAAACGAAGGAATATTTAAGATAAAGGGGTAAATATGGGCACTTCATGTCTTTTCCGGTTATATCTGATAAGTTATCACTTCTGGAGATGAAATAATTACATGACGGAAATTTCTCAGATGTCTGAAGAATAATTACTGAAAATCATACCTCAGCAACTTCTTTATGAGATTGTGTGCCAACAATTCGTGGGACAAGAATTGGTTCAAGAAGTTCTCGAAACTTTTGCCGATCGTTCATAAGGCAGAACTTTTCTAATGAACTCCTAGACCACTGAAATCCCTGTTTGTCAGCGGCACTTGCTAAGTTATCTATTTGCTGAAATAAATTAAGCATTTGCATAAAAACCGAATTCATGAGAATTTCTTGCTTTAAAAAAATGCACTCAGAAAAAGGTGCATTTTTACATTTGATCGCGGAGATGATAACAACTCCATTGCTAATTTTACTTAAAAGTTAATCAAAGTTTTTTATAAAATCACATTTCAAGTTTCAGACTACTTTGATCGCAATTTTTCCTTCTTTCCACTTAAACTTAGGCTTTGATTTATAAAAAATAACCCGAGATTGCCGCCATTGTGCTCGTACAGCACGTTGGTTCAGAATGAAATAAAGCAAGAAAGCAACTTTCGGGAAGTAAAGTGAAACGAATGTCATTCCTGTTTCCACGAAGAGATGAGAAATCAAAAAGCAATGACTGAAGCGCAGATCCAGAAAAAATTGACGAGAGCAAAGGCACTGTTTCTAAATCAAAGCTAGTCGTGTTTGTTTGCTCTTGCTGTCGACTGTGATCTTGAAGCCTTAAAATTCCAAATATTTCATTCAAAAAAGATAATTTTTTTTCACAATATAAACAGTTTGAAAAGAGAAACTATCTACTTACCAATTCTTTCTATTGAATTCTCTATTAAATTGGAATGAAAACGACATCTGATAAAATAGAACAAACAAAGAAACAAAGAGATTTTGATAAAATAGAACAAACAAAGAAAAAAATTTCTGATATAAGAAAACAAAAAAGAGTTGAAGTAAATAAAGCAAGCAAGTTTGTCAAATGTCTAAATGACAACACAAAATAAATTATTTGTGACCACAGGAAAACTGACAACATTAATATTTCACTCATATTTCGATGGTAATAAACAAATCAGGCACCAAAGAAAAAGACTTATATACAGTTATAAGAAAATTTCTGCAATGTTTTGAAGAGAATAAATACGAACGAATTTTTGGAAAAAAGTTTAGAGAAAAATGGAGCATTTACCGGTACAGGAGAATAAAACAAGGGACAATAAAAAAAGAGAAAAAATGTGTGCGGCAAAAAAAAACGATCGATAAAAACACTAAAAAAACTCTACATCTATCCAAAAGCGATTGGTATTAAATTATTGTCACCTGACATGCACTGTGACTTAGTTGAAGAACTAATGTCATTAAAAAAACCACCTCAAATACAAGATATGGATGATGACAAGAAAATTTATGAGTTGTGCGGACAGTCGGTTCTAATTTCTTGGGAAATTTATGATTATGTGTATCTCACGATCACAATCAACATTAGGTAATAACATAAGTTATACAAATTGTGCTTAATATTCCTTCAGATACCTTTGAAGGTTCTCTTAAAAAGATTTCTGGTTAATGCCACTTTATTCATACGACAACAAATTTATCACTCTACCTCTATTTTACGTATTCTCATTTTTATGCCTAACTAATGGATAGTAGGGTCAAGCCTGAAAATTAAATCAGATGGATAAAAAATGAAAACAAAAAGAACTACGGTGGACTTCTTAATGACTTGCAACTACTGACGGTTAACTCCCTACAAGAGAAATAAGACAATTAACAAAAACAAGTGAACTTTAGAAGGGTGACGTGCGTAGGAAAGTGAAAAATGAAGCAAATGAAATAATCAGAATTTAACAAAACATACGAGAAATCGGGAACTGTGCCCATACTTTTATCATTCTCATACTCTTACCATTCACTCCACTTTATTTTCTAATTTACTTCATGGTCGTGGCTTGTTTTTGGTGATTGCTTCGATATCTTAGCCTAAGTTTTATAAAGTCTAAACTGAAGTCAACAATTTAAGCGGACCTTCCACTCAGAATTCGTCCTTTCCCATAAGTTGCTTGAGATGAAAAAACTGAAGTGGAGGACTCATGCATCCGTTTTCGATGATCACTGCTCATATACAGGTAGAGTGAACAATTCGAGAAGTGACTGGGGTGTCAGAGAGATCAATGTGAGATCGGCAGCATAGTCTAAAACTTTCTCTAAGTAAAAATCGTAAAGCAATGGCTTCCACATGATTGCAAATTTGATGTCATTTATATATTGCTGCAGAAAAACCGAGAATAATATGTCAATAAGCAAATAAATTCCCAAGTTTTTTTACTCATATTGCTTATATATTCAAGGCATAAAAAAGAAACAGCATATCAAAAACGACTTTAATTAGATTGCGTTTTTGCCATATGAAAGGTAAGAACAAGGGCAGTAATAGACCAAGACAAATACCATTCAGAAGGAAAAAAAGCTAACAATGAAAGAGATTTTCATTAACAAGAAAAGTTTAGAAAAACTTCGACACGAGTCGAATATCCACATTATGTTCAGACATTCTCCCTTGATTTCCCGTAAATTTTAAAACTCGTCAACTTCCATTGGAAAGAAATGATAAACATGTGCCAGAAAACGCAGATAAAGGCATTAACTAATGAATGAGTAGTGATTAACATTATAAAAACAAAAATATTTAAACACTATAGGAAAAACAGCAACAAGTCAGTTCACAACAACAGTAAAAAGTATTTTCAACGCAAATGCATAAGTCATTCGTGCCGACGAAAACCGAATAATCGACCCTGATATTTCTTCACCGATGCAACAAATGCCTCCTTTTCGGACTCAATTTGATGCAACTTCTTTTCCTGTAATTCAAATTTCAAATTTTTTTCCTGTTACAAAAAAAAAAGAAAATATATAGTTGGATACAGTTAGATAAAAAACATTTCTGGTGTCGTCAAAATTAAGAATTCCTTCGAAATCAAAACTTAAACCAAACTTAAAAAAAGGAAAGTATTCCAAAAATGCTAACTAATTCAGCAACTCTCGTTGCTCTTTCTCTGAATTCTTTGAGCGGATCATCAAATTGACTATAATATTGAAGAGTAGGCCTCACGTCATCAACGTCTGACAAGTGTATTGCTGGAAGAAAAGAAATTTTATAAATATTATTTCTGACCTGACTTCATGAAACAGTTTTATTCAGAATAAGAACTAATAAAAACGAAATGAATTACTTTTGAGTAGTTCAGCAAGATCGACAAGTGCTGTGTCATCAAGAGTGCCGTTCCATTTGGGCAACCGTAACACATTTTCTGGGTTAAATCGAAATGATTCCGGATCAAAATCAATGTAGATGACTTTTGACAAATCTCTATTCAGCTTAGAAAGATCCTAAAATATTAAAAGTAACGAAAAATACAAAGACTGTTAGTTGGATGGAAATTGTGGCTGGACTGACCTTAACATAAACGCCATTCATGTACTTACAGCAATCACGATACAGTTTGTACATGATTTTCTGTTTGCTATCTAAAGCTTCAACTATTGGATTTGCGTTCAATGCAGTCTCTGATGTATAAATCACGACTTCAAAGTTTGGATACCCAATTACGTCCAACAGATAATCTACTGCAGGACGCTTTTTGACTCGATTTCCCATTTTGTACTGAAAATTATTCTATTTAAAATAAGATTTGTATAAGAACTGGCAGATGTTTGCTATATGTTACTGTTACTCAGCTATTCAACTTTTTACTTTTAAAGTGCCGTTCTTTTCATTTATTACGAAATAATGTCAAAGACTAACACTCCATTCTGGTGCCACCAAAACATTTTTTAATTCAATAACAATGGTATACTTAGGTTGCCAATATGGTGGTTTCAACGGATCCGGAAGAAGTTTATCTCTGGATGGTTCTACCACGAACTGCAAAAAATTCTATTTGAGCAAATAATGCGAGCTACTGTACATAGGAACACGTAGATAGCAGCTTCCACTTAATAAGAAAAGAGGAGTAGGAGTGAATTACAACAATCCATTCAATCCACATATACCGTTTCTCACCACTGATAAAGCACAACCATATGTTAATTCAAGAATGAAACTTAGAATTGAAAGAAGCAAAACTTACATTTCTCCATGACCTACAAGCTTCTTTGATACGATAATAGGGAGCTAATATACCCGTATATGTACTATCTTCATCTATTTTCATCCATCCTATAATTTTTCAAGATTCGATATAAATTAACGAACTAAAAGGACGTTTAATCTTTTCTTTTTTTTGTTTATTATATGGTCCGCACTGAAGTCATCTACTAAATGAATGCATAGAAACACTAATTTCACTTAATAATACATAGTTTTCGTACTTTACATGCACCAATCATTTTAAGTAAAACTGCCTGCTATCACAAGTTTTTATAATCCTGAAACTGCAATTGGAATCATTACCGTAATACAAACAGAAGTATAGAAGTCCACAAAATGTGCTACCCGCAACGAAAAACATAGCAAGTACTGTACTCCTCTTCCTCTTCTGCGTATTCTGATCTTCCTTTGGAGCAGTTTTATCAACCTACGACAATATAAATTACTCAGCGATTTATTGCGCTGATCACATATATCTGGAACAAGCGACTAAACTCAAAGAAGATGAAATTTACCGGTAACCCACATCTGTTCATTAATATTTCCCACTTAGTGACAATTATATTCGGTCTCACATTTATTTTGGGAAGAGCTGACGTTTCAATGCTTTGCACATCCTGTAATCAACAAAAATGTCCCAGTCCTCTTTAAGAAAAATACAAAGTATCATGAATAAATCACCAACATTTAACACTAGAATCCAAGCTGTCTATAACTTACTTCGCTTATCTTGTATACTTTCTTCTCACCGCCTTTCTCGACAAATTCTCCACTGCTGTTACCTATATCTTTCACATCGTGAAGCATACGAGAACTTCCCTTGCTAGCCTTAAAACATTTGAAGCATTTCAAACAAAAGAAAAAAAAAAAAAAACATTATTAGCTCAATGCAGTCAAAAATAACCAACCAGTGGATATCTGAGCGACCATGCTATCAAGACAGCACGAGTATTCCCAAATGATGATTCTGTAGTAAGAGTGATTCGGCGGAAAGGACAAAAAGTTTGATGGCTTACTATCCTGTTTATACATCGATGAGACGTACGAAGGATACTAACTGGAGAGATAAACATCAATTGACTGATTTCTTCATTGAATCGAATCACCACTACCAATTCTGTCGCTGAAAGATGCACTTCATCAGGACTGCTTAGCCTATCAGTTATCTATCGCAATTCAAGCATCGACCCGCTGGGCGTTATTGTGAGTGGATGATGAGTCAGAGTGGTTGGCAGGTGTTGGCACGTGTGGCGACATTACATGTAGACTTTTTTGTGAGGTGATGCTGATGTGATTGGAACACTTGACGAGTCGTGCAGTTAATATATGTCTATTTCAGGTGTGCTCATTTGTTTATGTAATACCCAGGCTAGTTACTGTGCTCCGCACAATTACATATGTCATCTTCAGCGTTAAGCAGTGGATGTAGAACATTTCTGTTTCGTTCCCGCCTTCCGCAAACAAATATAAGCAGTCCTTACGCCGATCCGACACGTACAGAGGTGAATTACTGTCAGTAACTGAAGATTTAGACCAGTATAAAATTTAAGCGCGACAATTTTTTTACTGTATTTAAGAAAAGTGATGTAAAATTATTTTTTCTTAGGAATAACAAATCATGAGCTTATTTTGAATCATCTCATATCCCTCGGCATATCTTTACCCGCTAATGCAATAAAATTTTCGAAGAGAATTTGAAGAATTATCTATGGTTATTGTCATTTTAATTAGTGAATTTCAAAACTTTTTGAATCAACATTGCGGGTCTGACTTACTTTTAGAAGTTACTTTTGGAAGTTTTCGAAGTTAAAATTTCTCAAAAACAACATTTTTACTGCTGCTTGTAGTGACAGAAAGTGGTGGAAATACTTTTGAATTTGTGTATTTCAACATTTATTCCTTATATTGGATAAGATCATGCTTTGCTACTTTTCAGTAACAAAAAAACTGCTAGATCTTTGAAAGGTATGTGTTATGTAAATTTTATAAATTTTTGTAGGTAAAAATCCAGGACGATGTTTTTGTCGTAGTAAAAGGTCCCGTAAAAAATACTGATCCGCATTTATCAAATCCATCAAATGGATCGCTCACATTTATCAAATCCATCAGTTGGATCGCTCAATTGGGTACAATTACTAAGAAATTCTCCTTTTGGCGTTAATTCCAAAGAACCGGTTATATGACAGATGCAGTTGAAGCTTCAAATTGTAATGATAATGTGTATATGTATTGATTGATTTTGAATATTTATTTTCTGATATGTATAAAGACTTATTTTAGAAATTTTCTTCTACATAAAACATCATTCAATAGGCGTGATTGTTTCTAAGAAAAATATATCATGTAGAATGAGCTGCTTTTTATTTCTTTGTGCTTCCTCCTAGAATCTTATGTCTTATGCAGTGAACTTTATTACAACATACTACTATGCGATAACCATTACTCTTTTGCTTTTCTGAAACGAGAATAATAAATTGTAATGTCTTTTTGTGTATTAAAATCTTTCCACCAGTAGTGCATTTAGGTGCTGATCACCAATTTGATGCTGATCAGTACTGAAAAATAAATTCTAGTTGAATTCATACGGAATTTTATAACAGGAACTATCGAGGTAAAGGATTTTAAAGTCAGGTATGTTTGAAGCATTTCTGTACAGTCAGAATGCAGCTGACCTCTAAAGTGAAAAATGCTTCCACAACTTTTGTTTTTTTTTTTGCTAACACAGTAGGATTAGTCGGAATGGAATATGCAAATTACCTTACCAAGAATGCAGGAGATTCCAAATAGAAGGTGAAACTGTCATTGTTAGGGTTGGCTCAGCGCAGGTGAACTTCATGACAAAATTTTCATAAAAATGTAATAACTTATGTAAGCTTTACGATTTACATAGAAGTTCGGGTCTGTGCTCATTAGAAGTTTTGCAAAGTCGAATAATGATGAATTAACTAAGCCGACTTGCATACAATATGGGTTAAGAGTGTAAGTAGCAGGTATTTATGATTCAACTTCAAAGTAACACAAAGTTCGTCTAAAATTTTTAGTTCGAAAACTAAAAATGTCGGAAATTAATATTAACGATTTAATTTTACGACTGTTGAACGTTGGACAGCCAGCTAAAGGTCTCACGAAAACTGTTCGTGAGCCTGAAATCGCATCACTTTGCCGTAAGTTCTTTTTAAATGCTAGGTCAGTATGGTATCCTTAATAGGGTTTTCGGTTTACGTGGTATCCTCAGTTAGGTTTTCAACTTGGAATATATGAATCAGACTTTACATAGAGTAGCCGACATTAGGAAGGGTCAACTTTCGTATGGAAATGCAAACTCTAAATCCTGATGGAAAAACTAATCTAATGAATTATGCATGGATTTTGAGATGAAACGGAAGAGAAGAGCAGTTTTGTTGTTTTCATTAACAGTTAGATTTTCGTTTTTTAGCTGAGAAACCAGATTTTGAATATTGTTAGTGACATTGCTGATGTGTCAGCCATTAGGATAAGACTTTCTCAAATTCAACAAATTCCACAATATCCTTAAATTTAGGTAAAGCTCGCGACATTTTCATAGCACAACCATCGCTAATAGAAATCGATCCACCGGTTCGTATTTGTGGTGATACGCACGGTCAATACGGCGACTTATTACGAATATTCGGTCGTGGCGGTTTTCCTCCCCTTGCCAATTACTTATTCTTAGGGGATTACATAGATCGTGGACATCAAAATCTCGAAACTATCATATTACTATTTTGTTACAAAGTTTGTATCATTTGTCATCAGAAATGTTTCGATTTTGCTAAAATTCATTCATGAAAGTAATCTTCAAAAAGTCGTGCAAAACATAAGTAAGTTTTAATTAAAGCAGTTAGGAAGTGCAGTGTTTAAATAATTTTAACCAATTTATTTGCAATACTTGAAACTACATATTAAAATAATTATTTAAATGAGCTATCAACTCTCGCGATATATTGTGGCAATGGTGAAAGTTGAAAATTTTCACGTAGGTGAAATTTCCAAATAACTTCTTTCTACTCCGCGGGAACCATGAATGTGCAAATGTTAATCGCGTATATGGCTTTTATGAAGAATGTATACGTCGTTTTAATTCAGTTCACCTATGGCAAATATTTCAGGTTCAAGAATTTATCAAATTTCTTTTTAGAATTTCTTTTCTCAAATATTGAAATGGATTTTTCTAGGTTTAAAAAAACTTTCATATGAGAACTGGACAGAACCAATCAATATTTAATTTTAAATAATATCGAAAGAATTAAAAAATATACCCGTCAGTTATGAGTTACTTCAACTTGCAAAATCAGAAATATGGGATGAATGATACATTTAAACAGTTTCGATTTTCAAAACGGCTGAGTTTGCAGGACACATTTCAATGCATGCCATTAACGGCATTGGTTGGTGAACGTATACTGTGCATGCATGGTGGTATATCGCCGCAGTTGAAAAGCCTTCAGCAGTTGCGAGAAATTAAAAGACCAGTCGATATCACAAGTCCATCACTGGAAATGGATTTACTGTGGGCAGATCCGGTAATAGGTATTAGCGGATTTCAAATGAATATGCGAGGGGCTTCTTTTGGATTTGGAGCTGATATTTTGGCTGCACTGTGTAAAGAATTAAATATTGATATGGTAAGAAAATTCCTTTTCATTTTTCGCAAAACCAATAATAAGACTGGAAAACAGATGAAATAATGATTTAGAGCTGTGCTTTAATATAATTTTTCTTTTTGGCTAGAAAATTTGATGAAGTTTTGTACAGGTGGCTCGTGCTCATCAAGTAGTGCAAGATGGATATGAATTTTTTGGAGGCCGTAAATGTGTCACGATATTTTCCGCACCTCATTACTGTGGGCAGTTTGACAATGCGGCAGCTGTAATGTCCGTGGACCAAAATCTTTTGTGCTCATTCCAGATTTTAAGGCCAACCATAGGCCGAGCTACTGCCAGAATTATACCAACTTCCATGGGCAAATGTTGATTATCTTGCTTTCCTTATGTAATAGTAAAGAGTAATAAAAGACATTGAATGTCAGTTGTTGATGTTTCTTTCAAAAAAGAAAAAAATTTCCTTGAAAATTGGATGCATTTGGTATCAGTTGAAATAAAATGATTCACTGACCAACTGATGTCTTACCAAATTTGACTAATTTAGAGATCTCAAAAGTCAATTTCGATTATGTAATTTCTTAAAATCATATTAAATTTGAATTACTGAATGTTAATTTACTTGAAGAACGATTCACAGTTTTTCTATCTGTTACTCTAATTTACATAAAAGCAAACATTTTAATATTTCAATTATCGAAACAGATATAAATGTGGTTGAAATGACATTGATACCATTTATTACTTGAGTGACGGATTCGTGTGACAATACGTGCTGAAGATCTTATTTGCGAATGTATTTAAACTTCATTAAAACAATAACGCTCGTGCTAATAATCATTTCTGAGGTATTCTTTTGGGGAACTGTTCTTTGATTTACAAATATTTTGATTGAAAAATTATTGACTATGGCCATGACCAATTAAACTTCGTAATTTCTTTCATTGAATTGTGGGATTGATGGAAATATTAGTGCTGTCATTGTTTGATATCTTGCGGTTCATAGCTCAATGCTAGCAATTAGGCTATTAGAAACTTTGAAAGAAATACAACATTACTAATATTTAATACGGATAAGTGACAACGATTTTATTGCTTTTAGGAAAGATTATGGAAAAATGGGGAATCACTTGTCGAAAATTTTGTGGATGGAATGTATCTTTCCATATTCATCGATAATTTTGTAGGAGCAACGGAAATTGTTGAGAATTATGAGCTACCAGCACACTCTAACTTACATGAAAGAAAATTGATAAAACGTTCCAGAAGACAACTTGTTGAAGCAGAAATAAAGTAAGCCACGCTACTAACGTACGAAATTTTTAGACCAAACCCTCTGTGAAAAATATAGTTTAGCATACTTCAGATCATATGCTACAATTCTGATAACATCAGCAGTAATAGTGGCATTGGCAACATTTGTTTGTCTGATCATTATGTTACATATCTTTATCTATATGAGATGGGGTATCACTCGTCAGCTCATTCTTCTCAATACCAAGGTTTATTTTTGTTTCCTGTAGCTGTAACTACAGTTTTTTTCTTATCAATTACTCATCATACAATTCAGAGTAGAATACTAGCATGGCGGTGAGAGTACTTTCCTAAGAATGTTTTGGGATATTAAAGGTTTGTGCGCTCGAGTCGCGTCTTGGAACACGTCAACTGTCGGAAGAATTACAGAGGAAATTGTGTGAAGAAATTGGTGTCGCATTTGGAACAGTCCAAAATGAACGACAGAAATTTGTTCAAGAAGTTGTTAATGGTACTTCTAAGTTATTAAGGATACCGTTATGCGCTTTTACTTCTACAAATATAGCTTCATTTTTTAATGATTTCTTAAATATAAAATCTAGATGAATACACTTTACTGAATCAACTAATTTTTTTTTAATTTCTAAATTTTAATTTTGTCTTGATACATTGACTTGAATTACTAGTGCCAGATGAAAACACTCCAAAATCTTGTAACAAATTCCTTAGAGTACAGTTATTGTTTTTTATAAGTTCTTCCGTTTGTTCTTAAATAAGTCTTATAGTAGTTTTGTTACTAAATGTTACTGACCTTATTTGAGAAAAAAAAAAAAAAAAACTTGCTTATCTTTTGTAACTACTTTACTGAATCAACTAATTTTTTTAATTTCTGTGTAACTACTTAATGTCATAACATTAAATATTAGTTCTCAAGTAATGAAGTGATTGAACATTTGATTTCATCAAATTTTGCAGAAGAAAGAAAAATGGTCGAAGAAGTGGTAAAATCAGAAAGTGAACCACAATATGAAACAATGTGCGGGATAGGCGATGAAGTTTTTACCACCAAAAAAGGCGGCGGTATATGTTCCTATTTTTAAGAACTTTTGATGAAAAATTTTTAGTGATCCATAAGACAGCAAAAGAATCGAAACTGTATATAATATGGTATGGTATTTTTTACAGAAAAGAATACCCCTAGACCAGCTCCAGTTCCGTCTTCCGAAAAGCCAGATGAAGGTAATTGATTTCCTGGATGCTTTTTAAAGACATATTTCTTTGAAATGAAAATGGATTTACAGTCTGAAACAAATTACCAGTATAATTTCCTAAATTCTATAAGATTTGCAGATAATCATTATGAGAACGTACCAAAAGGTAAGCTTCTTTATTCCTTATATTCAATATTCTGGGTGAAAAACATAATCAAATTACCTGTCTTCTATTTCATCTTGTGCTGCAATTCAAAAATAATTAGCTGAATATGTTAAGAAATGCATCTTTATTTTACAATTCTTTGTCATTTATACCGTGCGATGGAATTTATGGAAAACGGAGACATATCCAGTCTTTCGTTCGGTATTCCTAATTGATTGGTAGTTTTGATTTAGATTAGTCATTATAAGCGACAGGCCACAGTGCCCAGTGACAATATTTTTCTGTAAACTTATACTAATCCCCAAAATGTGTTTTAGACTCATGGAATTAGGGATTTATAAGAAAATTAAGTATGAACATTAAAGTTGTAGAGTCAAATTTGCAAATAATTCTAACATTCTAAATAACATGCAATCAACTTTTCAGCAAATAAAAAAGTACCAGAAAAAACTTCAAAAAGTGAGCTGTTTCTTTATTCTGTTAACACTTGCTTAAAATTTTGGTTTACTTTTCATTAAAAAAAAAAAAAAAAAAAAAAAAAAAAAGGAAAAAAGAAATTTAACGAAATTTTAAAATGACAAGTGAAATTTTATTACTGTATTATACAAAGCAATTATAGGATCAGCAATTGCACCAACACAACAGATTAAAGGCTAGCTCATTATTAATGCTGCATATATATTGAAAAATTAAATTCGTTGAAAGGAATATTTTAGTATTTTTATCCTGCTTAAAAGTATATAACAAATGGCACGGAAGCATTTTATTGAAAAGCTTGAAGAAATAGTTCTAAATTAATATGTTTAATTTAATCTAATATTTGCTTTATTTGAAAATGAACAGCACCAGCAGTTGGTGGTATGGTGGATGAAGCAGATCCCAAGTATCAAACTCTTGTTGGCATGGATAACGAAAAAATTTTCTCTGAAAAAAAAGGTAATTTGATTTAATTCAAATTAAACAGGACAAATTATATCCAATATCGCCGTAGTTTCAGTGCTCATTACTGATACAAATCGAATTCAGATTTCTGAACAGCTGCAATTACAACATTCAATTCTTAATGATGGCCAATTTCACTTGCTATATCGTACTATTCCATAGTTCATGTTTCATAAGCTCAGCTTCTTAGAGCAAATTTATTTCAATTTGAAGAACTGGGGAAATTCCATTGATAATTTGCAATTTTATGTCTGATCTAACTGTTATTTGCAGAAGGCAAGCTACAGGAAACACAAGAAATTAAGCGTAATTTTTATATTTCAATTTATATAATACTTTGAAAATCATCACTTAGAACTTTAGAGTGGTTGAGAAATAAAACAACGATATGCTTTCGTCGGTCTTGAACTCCACCAAGCTGTAATTGTGTGACCGATCTAACTATACAGTCAAAAAAGAAATAAGATTAAAAAACACAGATACTTCTTTTAAATTCATTCCAATGAACTGAACTGCAGCACCGACAATAGGCGGTGTGGTAGATCAAGCAGATCCAGCTTATCAAACACTTGTCGGTATGGAAAATGGGAAAGTTTTTCAAGAAAAAGGCAAATAATTTCACTTTTTTAGTCAAGCAATCAGGCTAATGATAAAACTTTTGACAAACAAATAATTGGAAAATTATCTGAGTTCCAAAGAATCCTTTTTCAGTCTTCTATATTCCAAATAGTCATATTTAACTTATGTTAGTAGTAAAAATGTATTTACCGTTAAAATAATTGTTTCATTTTTTATTTCGAAGCAGCTGTAGCGAAAATAATCCTCCTTTCAGCTTGAAAAGTACCAAAAGAAGATAGATGATATTTTAATTTGTAGTCCACCTGTGCACTGTGTATTAAAATTGTTATTTTAAAATTCTGTGGCATCTCTAAATCGACAGAAATATAATGAAAATGGCCTATTTTAAAAATCTGTCTTTCCCATATTGCTTCATAGTTTGACCAAACCAATCTTTGTATAATAGGTCTGACCAACCAAACCAATCTTAGTATAACACAAACTGAATTTAAAATTGATAAATGCCTAGCTATGTTATAGTGCAGTAAAACGCATTATAAAAACTAAAACAGCTTCGTAAGCAAAAGATTAGATACCAATAAGTGTAAACAAAAACAGAGAACGGAAAAATGTAAAGGATGACTTGAAGCAGATGAACATCTTACACGCCAAATCGAGCAAATGAACGAACAATCGATCGAAAGAAATACAGAAATATTCATAAGGATGGGATCGTGGTGTTGCGTTGTGATCCTGGATGGCCATAGCCACGACGGAGGTACTTTCATTAGTAGGTGGAGAGATGTGTTTATCTGAGCAAGGGGAAGGATTTTTAGTTAGTTGTATTTAGTTTTGAGAGAGATCGAACAATTCGTAGTTTTTAGACAAGACAGTTCTTAATTCTTAGTTTTTTTTTTTTTTTTTTTATCCTTTCCTTACTTAAATATCTCACTTTTCCCAATATTCTCTTTATTCCATTGCATGAATTGGATTGAGTGGGTGACTAAGGGAAAGTAAAAGCTTCCAGCAAAAATACTTGTTCATCATTTATTGTGATATTGTTTTCTTGTTTTGATGTATATCTTAAAGAATGATTTGGCAATGTTTCCTACACAGTTGCTTCATGCTTCATTTTTCCCACATTTTTTCCATAATTCTTCACAGACAACTCTGTATATGGCGCTCCTTAAGGAAGATATGTTTAGAAAGATATTCATCAAGAAAAAAGTGGTATGTCTACTGAAAACATAAGTATTAAGTCTCAAAAACTTGGTGAAGCAGTACATGAAGGATGGCTGATGAAGAGAGGCGAGCACATCAAGAATTGGAGGCCAAGGTAAGAATACTATTAATCAGTAATGAGGAGATTTATATTGGTTGTAGTTTTGGGATGTAAGGTTTTTTTTCGCTTTTGCAGATATTTCGTTCTTTTCAAGGATGGTGCTTTGTTAGGGTTCAGAGCGAAACCTGATCCAGACCAGCCACTTCCCGATCCATTGAATGATTTTACAGTTAAAAATGTTCAGGTAACTGGATTTGGTCTTTTCTGAAATTTTGATTCGTTTTTGCTTTTTTAACGAAAAATTTGTTTATCATCGAGAGTGATTTCGAAAGGTTATAGGTTGATGTCTTATTTTGAATTTTGATTAGATTATTAAATGCCATTTATTATGCAGATCTAGGGTAAGATCTTCTAAGCTTATAGGCCTGTTTCAATATAAATTGTTGAATTAATCCAAAAGATTATTTCGACTAAAGGCTTTCTGTTTTAGTTGATGAAAGTAGAAAGGCCAAAACCAAACACATTCCTAGTTCGTGGCCTGCAGTGGACAACCGTCATTGAAAGAATGTTTAATGCTGAGAGTGCCGAAATACGTGAGGGATGGATTAATGCAATAAAGGTTTCCGTCTTTCATTCGATTTACGATTATGCATAAAATAATTATCAAGACCCATTACTCGTTTACTTTCTATCCAGATTTGTATCAGATATTTAGGTTGTTTCGGACTCGCTTAAGGAGTCGGAATCTGAAATGGATACAGAAATAATGGAAGAATCTAGTATTCTGTCCGAAGTAAATCGTCAGATAACAACTACGCATGAGCAACTCAAAATGTCAGTGAACAGTGGAGGACGAGATATGATGAGTATGGCTGATGCTGCAGAAGCTGCACGAAGAGATAAGATCGTAACTTTCATATAATTTGTTTAAAAGAGGCTCTTAGTAATGTCATATGCTTTTTTTTTCAAAAAAAAAAAAGACCAAAGCATGATGCTTAATCATATTGCTTATGTAAAATTTTGTATGCTGGTAGAGCAGCCATCAATAATGAATGATATACATATATCAGTTTGGGTAAGTTATTGTTCGTTAGCGGAAATCCCATAAAATCAGGAATTTTGTTTGACTAATATTTGACTAGCTGATGTGTTGTATGCATCATCTGCATACTTCGCAGTTAACCTACTGGCAGAATATGTTTGGTATCCCTTGTAATTCTAGCTACTGCAACTTAGAAATTTATATCACTCTATTCAGATTGTTATAATAATTTTCAATTATTTCTCATTGCAGTCTTTAGAAGATTTCGAATTCCTGAAAGTACTAGGTAAAGGTACTTTTGGTAAAGTAATCTTGTGTAAAGAACAACGAACAAGGAAACTTTATGCAATCAAAATATTGAAGAAAGAAGTCATTATTCAAAAGGTCCGCTGTTATTCAAATTAGTAGAGTAAATATCTCAGATCTCAAAGGTCTGCAGAACTAGCTGTTATAGTTGTGCTCACTTTTTGCTTGCATTTAACTAATGTCAGAGTCATTGTAATATTTCTGGTATTATATGAGTCACCGATACACTGGATCTTTATTATAAAAAAGATATAATTGGAAAAGTAATAAGCCGTAGTAAATGTACGACTGTTTTCAGGATGAAGTGGCGCATACTTTAACAGAGAATCGTGTGTTACAAAGATGCAAACATCCGTTTCTAACTGTTAGTATATCTGAAAAATTTTTATCAGGATATTTATTTGGGATGTGTTTCAATGGCCATGTAATATATATTTTTATTGCCTGGGATATGGAAAATTCAAAATTTTTATAGATTCTATTTTGCTGCTTCCGGGTTTTGCTTTTTTTAAAACCTTTTCATGTTTTACTTTTCGTTGATATTGCTCAACATGTTTTTTTTTCCAAAAATATTTTTGCTGCTAAAAAGTAATTTAAGCATGACTCATCAATATTATTTGGTTATCAGCTGGATTATTCATTTGATAGAAATTAATTTTTTACTAGGTTTCTATCTTTTACTCTTCTGTTTCAGTTCTTTCTGCTTTCTATGTTGATAAGTAATCTCGCATTTTTCTTGCCAATGAATAATTAAGACTTCATTCATTGGTAAGAAAAATGTTTATCTTAGTTAATTAGAGTTTAAAGTTTTCTTCAGCTTGCTTTGCGATGGTTCTTATTTTTCAACTCAGAAACTCATTCCATAAAATTATTTACAAGTTATACTATTTTCCACGCGAAGAGAAATAATGAGATTGTGTTCCACTGCTCTATTCTTTTGTGTCTTTTGTATTCGTGTCATTTTAGTCATTTATTCTTCTCTATATTCATATATATTCAGATTCTTCCAAATTATAATGGGATAAGGAGGGAAGATTCATTCAATCTTAGATTCATTTTGAAAAAAAATGAATTTTTCTCTCGCAGAAGAAACCTTCACATGAATGTTATCCTCTTTGTCTGTGCAAAAGTTATATACTTTTCTGTGTATGTTGTAGTTGTTTGTTTTAGCAGCTGAAGTACAGTTTCCAAACGCCCTTTCATTTGTGTTTCGTGATGGAATTTGCGAATGGTGGTGAATTATTTTTCCACTTACAACAGAATCGGATCTTTAGCGAAACCAGAACACAGTTTTACGGCGCTGAAATTATCCTTGCACTTGGTTACCTGCATGAACAATGCATTGTTTATAGGGATATGAAGGTTAGTACTTCACATCCTTTGGAATTGCACAAAGGATCTCTTTTATCGATAATTTCGATCCACTTTTTAGTACTTTGTTTTTCACAAAAATAGTCATAATTAGTTGCTACTTTTTTCGCTTTTTCATAACCATTTTTTGCACACGTTATTTTTGTATTATACAGTTTTATGGAGGTCTGCTAGAACACTGGCTCAAGCGAAATAGATAGATCTTTGAATTGATGGCTTTTGTATTTGATGGCTAAGGAGAATTAACTACTAGATGTGCTTTTTATTTCTTTTCTCACTTGTTCAAAAAACCATTTCTGGAGCATTCTTTCTGGAGTATTTTCATTGCAAGTGATTGCTTATATCGGTTCTTGGAAAAAGGATTCCTTGAAAAACTTCCAATAATATTAGATAATAAGTTTAAGTATTTGAGAAGGAAAAATCTAATAGATTTATCCTTCAAAAAATTTAAAGCACTTTGTTGGTTGCACTCAGATCTACACTTTTCTGAAAAGTTTTATTATGATTTTTTGCATGCCTTAATTAATTTTAAAACACTAATTGCACTGCTTGTTCCTTTTCTTCATCGGATTATGGACATTTTATAGAAATATTGAAGATTTCATGTTTCAAACGTCTCTTTGCAAATTTTTGTACTACATCATCGTAGTCTATGTTTTTAATTTAGTGTTTTCCACTTTTCTAGACTGTTGTCTTTGGAAGCTGTAAAATGGGTTATTTTTGTTCATGATATGTTTTATGATGAATTGACATGGGTCGTATTGGCCATCGAAATTTTACGTTTTAGTATCAAAATATCGTGGATTCTATATTTTTCATATTCTTTCAAAATTGGCTTACTGATTTTTAGTTTTTCTCTTATCAAAATTTGTGAGTACCAAAAATTCAAAAGCATACATTAAAAAATGGAAAATTCCTAATCTTTTGATGAATTTCTCAATGGAACCGTTTACGAAAGTGAGAAAAGCAGTTTTGTGTAGGAACTACGATATTCATTTCAAACCAGTGATCGACTATGCTTTGTTATGGAATTTGCAATTGGCGGTGATCTTTATTATCACCTTAATAAGGAAGTACAGTTGAAAAGAGCAGGATTCAGTGAATCACGTACTTGCTTCTACGGTGCTGAAATCGTCTCCGCAGTTGGCTATTTGCACGCAAACAATATTATTTATCGAGATCTGAAGGTTTGATGCTGTTATAGAAGAGGCTAAATCAAATGCACACGCACTTTCAAACATTGAAGGCTGAATAGGATGCCTTGGGAAGCACATTTGACTGATTACACTGAATCTTATGCTTTGGATTCTTAAAACAGATAAAATTCTGTTCATTTTAAATCAAAAATTTCAGAAATTCATATATTTGAACTCTACGTTTTGGTGTACTTTTTCCTCAGTTTCTTTGTTCGCATGTAATTACTGCATGTAGCTTAGAGCAACGCTAATTTTTCAATTGCAAAGGGGAACGGGAAGTGTTTTGGGTGAATTGGAATTCAGCAGTAAAAATACCGATAAGTTACTTAAAAATTGTTTCGGTTTTAAGCGTTGTTTTATGCTGCAAAGTCTGTGTCGTTAATGCTGTGCCACTTTCGAGTTCCATCAAATATTTAAATAATTCTAAATGTGGCTTTCGAAATTTTAGTTAGAAAATTTGCTTCTGGACAAAGATGGCCATATAAAGATAGCCGATTTTGGTTTGTGTAAGGAAGACATATCCTTCGGTGATCGAACAAGGACTTTTTGTGGTACACCAGAATATTTAGCTCCCGAGGTAGTGTTCTTGCATAAAAATTACTGTTAATACGCTGTTTTTGAAGATGATTAGTTATTTTATTTAAGACCATTTCTATTTAAAACAGAATTCTTTTTTCGATTTATAGGTACTCGAAGATAATGACTATGGTCGTGCAGTGGATTGGTGGGGTGTCGGTGTTGTGATGTATGAAATGATGTGTGGCCGTTTACCGTTTTATTCAAAGGATCATGAAAAATTGTTTGAGCTAATTCTTACTGGTGCTATACGTTTTCCATCAAAATTAACAGCACCAGCTAGAGCTTTGCTCACTGGATTGCTGGTTAAAGATCCGAATCAAAGGTTAGGCAAAATATTCAAATCACTTGTAATTTAATATCTTACTGTCTAATAACTTTTATTTCTCTGAAAATCAATTTAAGTGTTGATTTATTCTTTAGTGTTAATCAATACAATAAAATTCAAATAAGTCAATTTAGACTTGGTGGAGGACCGGAAGACGCGCAAGAAATTATGCAGCACGAATTTTTTAATAATATCGACTGGGAAAAGTTGTATCGGAAAGAAATCACTCCTCCATTCAGGCCGAACGTTCAATCGGATACTGATACATGTTACTTCGACAAGGTTATTTCTTATCACTTAATTTTTGCATAAATGAAATAATAATATTATTCGGTAATATGTTGCTGTTAAAATAAAACTCAGGATATTTATATTAAAAAGCAGTGTATGTCCAAATTTTCTAAAGGAGTATTAGAATTTCTTTGTTATATATATATATATATATATGGTTATTTGCAGGAATTTACTCAGGCTCCAGTACAACTTACTCCACCATCAGTTCGTTCAGGACCTTTGGATACAGTTGATGAAATGGATGAAATGCAAAATAATTTTGTACAATTTTCTTTTCACAATGCAGTGTCGTCTCCTTTGCGTAATGTTAATGATACAATGGACGCACTCGAATAATAATCATATCATTAAATTTATTAATGAATTGGATAAATGTAGAACAAACTTGTCCAGAGTTAATTCCTTACAGAATTTTTAAATTTTGTTTTAAATTTTGTTTCGGGGCATAATCCTGCAAAGGATTTGGCCTTTGCTTACGTTTTTTCGTGATTCATTAGTCTTATAATTTTACTGGTAGGCTCTAAATATGTCAAAAATAAGTTATGAAAATAATTCTAAATCTCGCAAATTTTATTATTTTATTGTACAGGAAAATGTTACATTGGTGCTGTATTTACCTTTTTTGGATTCAAATTGTAAGTTTCGTATTATCCTTATTTTCGCTGTAGTTGTGTACTTTGCGTGTACTATCTTTACGAATTTATATGTATTTCTTCATTTTTAATGTGTTGTGTTTTCTCTGTCGGAGACTTACTACAGCATAGGATTTTGAACGGGTCTTGGTTTTCGTGAAATTTGTTTAACTTTAATCATTTGAAAAAATATATATAGGTCGAAGGGAGACATTAGATGTTATTTTATTGCACCTAATTTTTTGTTTTGGATCTACCGTAGGGTATTTATTTGTGTTTTCTACTTTTGTTTTCGTTCATGCTTGTATTCACTTCATTTTTCCAATTTGCATATAATGTCGATTCATTTGCCTCTTATGTTGTATTAGTATTTTTTATTGAGCTAAATTTGTACTTACTATGTGGGCAAATGAAATATGGACATTTGTTTCTGTCTTTTTTTTTTTTCGAAGTCTTTAAATGTCTGATGTAGCGAAGACATTGGACTTTTTTTTTTGAAATAAAGAACTTGAATGAGAAGAAACGAATGTTATTAAGAATTTCAAATGTTACACTGTTTTTTTCGGATCAAAATTACATTTTGGGACATTAATGAGGATGTCATTTCTACAACATTTGTAAAAACGAGTGCGGAATAGAATTGTTAGAATGCTATTATGAGGATTAATGATTAGGACTAGGGAATGGCAATCACTAAATCGAGTTTATGACTTCTGTGGGACGGTGTATTTTTGCTGCAAAGTCAGAGTTATGTGACATCAACCTCTAAGATGCATTTTAATGTATCTGCCAATTCGCTATGCAAAAAGGATTGGAATGCGGATTCGCCTCGTATTTTATTACCGTAGTATTGAAAACTTATGGAGCAAATATAACGCATTATCATTTTGTACTGAATGTAGTGTTCGTGATTGTATAATATATTATCCTTCACTCAACCTCCGGAAGTTATTCATGAACTGGTCGATTTCTAATTACTATTACTGATATCAAACTTCACTACGATATTCTAGGCTACATTTATTAAAATTTTATTGTAGGTCATACGATAAAGGGAAGGACATTCTATATTGGATGAACTGATTTATATTTCACTCTTAATCTTATTTTTAAATTCGGCACCTAAGATACGGACAAGTATCCCTTCTTAAAACATTTAATTTGACAAAGTGAGAAATATTTCGTACCACAGCATTAAAACGGGCTAAGTGTTTTGTCTTTTCTTTAGAGGATATGAATTTCCCTTTTTTAGACATAACACTAATCGTAGATAATTTTGTTAAAGGTGCTGCTGAAACTAAAAGCACAGATAAATATACAAAAACTTAAAATTAGTCTGAGCACCTTGCTTGGATATAATGCAGTTGTGAATATCGTCTAACCGTTAAGATCATTTTAAAAAAGAATTTGTCTGTCAGTGTACATATTAGAGTTCATGGTAGTAATTAATTAATAAACATATACAGATTTAGGACAAAGTTAGAATGTATACAATAATGATATTGTGGACACTCACATGTTTAAATAATCCTTGGAACCAAGCGCTTCTATTTAACTTTTTTGTAAATTCTGTATTTGAAAGTGACCTTACAAAATTTTCGAAATGATATAACCAACAAGATTTAAACTTCATTCTTCAGGCAAATATTATTCAATTATCGATTCTATTATCCTGCCTTTTCCTTTCAAAGTAAAAGCATTTTCAAAACGATTGGGCCTATATTATATATAATATCAGCAATTTACAACACATGAAGACATGTACAGTAGCAAAGCTTCTGATTTGAATAAGTTTTAAACTGAAATTTCCGCAAACTTACATTATTTAGTGATTAATTTATTTGCCCGTTTATTAGCCGACTCCACTCTCACTTCATTCGATTGAGTCTGCAATTAGTATTCGGTTCATTCAGGAAGGAAAATATCTCGTGAATTGCTTTCCGTGATGGATTTCGGGATTTTGAGTTGACTAAAGTTTACGCGTATGTTTTTGTAAATAAAAATGCAGAAGTGGTAACCAGTGTACCTTCTCATGTATACGATCCAACTGTCTGTTCTGATTGCTAACTTCTGTGCTCATATCAATTGCCATATTACGTAAATTGCCAACCATCGTTGATACTTGCTGTACATTTTCGTCCATTTCATCTTCACGCGCATCATTTGTTATTCTGCATATTTCATTTTTCATTCATGAAGTGGTAAAATTTTTAACTTAAACCATTAGTTTACTTAAGCATACCTAATTAGAATTATTCGAAAATTTTTAATTAGTTTGGAAGGAATTTTAGTAAGCTCCCAACGGAAAAATTGAGAGAAGAAAACGTGGCAGCTTATTTGAGAGTGACGAACTTTCTGGAAAGTTCTGTGAAGGTTAGAAAGAGAAAAAAAAATCGTGGGCTAACTAGAATGTTAAATAATAGATTAGTTAACTAACCGTGTGATATACCCACCCTGAGGGCCCATTCCAGAGTCGCCAACAGTTATCCGAGGCTGGTCACTAATTACACCTCCATCATCATCCTTTTTCCACGCCTTTGCATATTCCGAGTTTTTTTCGAAATCTTCGGTCCTTCAATTTTGATTTGCGAAATTTTGTGAAATTCTTTAATAAATGAGTGACTTTTAGCGTATCATAAAGAATTGAAATTTTCTCATCAATATTAATATACTTAATTATGGATGGATCCAGAGAGTTATACTTGTGTTAAACTTTTATATTAAAAATATGGTGACTCAGATATCAGAGATATGGTGAAAAATGAAAGGTTCTGAACTTTCGACTTACTGATGGTTAATTTATAATTTTTGAACTGCTCATATAATTAAATTAGCGAATAGATCTTATTCACGATACTGGTGACGGGAAGCTTTTCAAAAACAAACTTGAAACATGGAAGTGTGCATAAACCACAACACTTTTCCATGCCCTTCAGGTGCTCTTCAGCTTCACGCATGTCCTGATTGATTGTGTCTAAACCTCCTTCAACACGTTCCAGCTGCTCTGCAATTCTGTTTGCACATAACAATGCTATATGATTTCATCTTTGATCATATTCCACCAGTACATATATTTACAATGATATTCCTTCTTTCTAATTTAGATACTCTTCCCATATCTCTCTTCTCCTAACTCTATTCTAATTTGTAATTCAATATTAGAATTTAGAATTGTGATTGTAAACGATGGAAATTAAAGTATGGCGAAAAAACGATTTCAGTAAAAGGATAATTACATAAAAGAGTACCTCCTTGATCATCCAACATTACAAGTGTTTTAATACCCGCTTCTTTGCTCTGAAACCATGAGATAATTTCATAAAGTAGTGTTGTCTCATCTTATAAGTTTTAGTTCCTTCCTCAAAACCATTTTTTTTTTTTTGTAAAGTAAAATTTTTCTAAAAAAAGTTTTTAATCGCGAAGTAGCAATTTTAGCTCTTTCAATCGATGCTAGAATTATCATTTATTGCTAGATGGAAGAAATATTCGTTCAAATATGTTGAATAGATATTCGAATTAATTTTTAATCAGAATAATAATTAGTAATGATTTTTGATGCAACATAATTCAGTTGCGGAATATATTAACATACCTCTTCACATAACTGCAGCATACGTCTTGTTGCTTCCAAAGACTGAAATATTTTCATAACTTTTCTCAAATTAGTTTTTTTCTTTTTGGAAATCTAAGTTGTGTGAGTAATCAAAGACGAAAATAAAAATTTGAATTGAAAAATTTGCAAAACCCACAAGATAGTTGTGTACCACCATCCTATTGCAGTCATAGTAAATGTTGATTTCTTAATTTCTTCCCAAAAAATTACTGCATTAATTGTAAAAATAAAAAAATAATTTTTAACAATTAGCGAATATTCTTAATACATTCTTATTCACGATACTAGTTTACTAAAACTTCGTCGTCTTAACATAGCCATCATTTGTCTGCTCTTTCATTTTCTTTACGTCTAATTAAAATTGAGAAACAAACGATTTTTTATGCAAAGAAAGGTCTATAATTTCAAATCGATTATGAAACCACTCAAATTCTTAGCCTCTAGTTTCAAATTTATTAGACTGAGATCAACTATTAATTAGAGTAAGATCAACCAGGCAGCGATTGTTCTTCTTTAAAATCTCAATGAAATCCTCCCAGAATGAATGCTGTTGAATAGGCCTTTTACAAATGAAGGAATGAAAAAGAAACAGAAGGAACTGATTTCATACTGCCAATGACTTTTTCAAAAAATGAAGATTTATCTGATCCACTGTTCCTTCTTTGTTATCATCAAATCTTATCATTACCTCTCAGCTCATTTTGCCGATAAGGAATGACGAAGTGAATACATCATACTGCAAACTTTATCTTACCTAAAATGGCCCTGCCTCATGTCACGACACGTCTGCACCTGTGAGATTTTTAATATCTTTCTCAGATATGATGACACCGAAAATACTCATCTGGCAGAAGGTTATATCTTTTGTGTCACCTCTTTTGATAAAAAATACATAGAGATGGCTATGCGACAGACACTTCGAATTTTGCTACAGGATCAAAAATAACTTGCATAATTTTTCGACAAAAAAACAGACAGGCTTTCAAAAAAAATTTTCAGCAACATAAATATATAAATTGCAAAAGCAGACTTTTCTTTTTTATTTTTGAAAGGATATAAAACGATGTTGGTACGTTCACCTATAATATAAG